AGACACCAAAACAGAAGGACAGATTCAGCTGCACTAACCAGGGAGAAAAATTCATTTCAATTGATTCATTCCTCCCCAGACTCATAAATCAAGGCTCCAAGGTACTTCTAATGGATGCCACAGAAGGCCCCTTCTGGAAGTCATTTAAAACTGGATTGCACAGAGCGCTTGAAATTTACTGCAGGGCATCATCCTATATTAGCAAGAGAACCTCACTGACTCTAAAGGTCTTTCCCTCTCTAATTAACAGGGCACAAGAGACTCATTGCATGAAGACCAAAGAACGAAGGAGGGAAGATGTGCTTGCTGCCTTTGGGCTGCTGGCAGTTAGGCCTTTTTAGAACAAACAATAATACGCAAGATAAAGTGGCTGATGAATTAAATAAAAACAATGTAAAAAGGCTTTAGCTGAACTGTATATGGTGGCAATCGTCAGGTATGTGCCCAATGGAGTACAAGCACACAGGAGTACTGGACACCGACACCAAAACCTCCTTGGAGACCCAACTACCACCAGCTGTGCTGAAAACACAGTGCAATTTGTGCTCAGCAGTGAGGAGGCCGGCACCAGGCCCATGTGTCCCATAACCACTTAGCGTACAGCTTAGCTGGGACCGCGCCAGCGCAGTACAGAGCGCAGTACAGAGCATACACAGCTTCTGTGCAAGCAATGCATTTCATCTGCGAAGCACAAACAGTAGGATACCGTTAGCTTCCCTGGGCACATTATTAAGCATAGCTGAGCACAAAGCTTCCCCAGGGCCCTTTTCCACGTTTCCACAATTCCCGCCCTGCCATACCTCTCAGTTGGTACCCAGCCCTGAAGGAACGAACATGTCTCCAATCAATTTCCCCCAGTTGGCAATTTCAATCACAAATCGCCATCCCTTTCTTACCTGCTGTTGGTTCTCCCTCTGAGAATGCAACCTGGCCTGTATGCATTCTCTGGTCTCCTGGAAGGCTTGCCTTTGGGACACCTCTGCTGGGTAATGGGTGCACACACCTACAATGTTTGTGCAGGAGAAGATGAGAACATTGGAGACAAGCTGCAAAAGAGAAACATGCAGTTACGTTTTGGAAACCTGCCAACTCCAATCAAAGAACTAGTCAAAGCTTGGCACGGCACTTGAATTATTCCACATCCAACACAAACCTAGTGCCCTTAATTTCAGTGCATTTTACTTCACTCTTCTTTGAAGTATAAACTCATAAGTATAAACCTCCCCTCAAATGCACTACCTTAGGTAGTTTACTGCCTCAAATATGGCCATAAGCATCTTCCTTCTGATAGTAGTAATCCAGTATCTTGAAACTATGGTGGCAGTGATTTATAAAAAGGCTTCAATACAGTCTGACCTAGCCAGAATTATGAAGACAAATCTGATGGAAAGTATACTTCCTACCACTGTCTATACTTGCATGTATGCTATGAAAAGTATACAGAAGGATGCATTAACTCTTACATTGTAATACTGCAGCTATTTTAAAAGGGGCTAACTTTGTATGTCAGTTGCTTACAAAAGCTGAGATTGCCTTTATCCGGCTTTAGGTTTTAAACAGATGTTGAATGATGAATAGGATTTTCATTGAAGAGACAAATGGCTTTGTTGATGACATTTTCTAATAAAAGGATTACATATATTCTGTTGGTCTGAAAACAAACTAATTTAATTCCCCCCACCACCACCCCCCAAAAAAGTGAAGTTTTTTTGCTAAAGTTTAAAAATTGAACTTTGTTGAAGTTTGGTAATTTTTCAGAGGAGTTCTACTAGTTACCATACAAAAGCACTAGCTCTGTACAGAAGTAAAAGTGTACTTTTGCATCCTCAAGACAGCTGTGAGCTACACTTGTTTGGATACAGCCCCCAATTCTAAGGAAAAATGGTGGACTTGTATCTTGTAGGCATGTACATTTGGAGTACAGCTCTTTTTGCTTTTGTAAAACTGTTGAGAGCAAACTTTCCAAAGTAATATCATCTGTATCACCCTGAAGATAGAGACAGATTCTGGTGCAAGTGGTGGATGTCAAACTCAGGAACCAGCAGTGAGAGCTGAGCGCTCAGACTGGTGACTCCAACCCCAACACAGAACAATCTTTTTTGAGATGCTGTACTGTGACATGAACAAGTACTAAGGGATGCTTTACATATTAAAACATGTAGATTTTACATGTAGACTGCAGGGAACTACTGCACAAATAACCATGCCCCCCATCCTGGGGATGGGAGTCTTGGTCTTTCAGGTCCAAGTCCCTGGAAGCTCTTCAGCCAAACACCAGCAGTCTTGGGAGTGGTAGGCTTTATCCTCCTTGCCAGCCAGCCATAAGACGGCAACATACTACTCACAAAGCAAGCGTACTACCTGTGCAATGTCTGCAGCCAGAAAAAGAGTGAACACAGGCCTCGAAGGAACCTCTTGGGTCATCAAATCCAGCTTCGTGCCAGTGAGGACAACCGCATCATACAGAATTACTTGCATAAACTGACAGAGCTACTTTCTAAACATGACGAGGTTTTGTGCCTGTCCTCCTCCCAGGAAGAACCCCACTCTTCTGATGGTTAAATCCCCTTCTTAATTTCCAGCCAAATGACTTTATTTATAGCCCGTTCAGACCCATTTGTCCAAAAGCCAAAAAGGCAATGTTAGTATAAATAACTCTTCTCCATCTCTAACTTCTCTCTCAATGATGTAGTTAGAGATACAGTGGTCACGTCCTCCCCCTGCTTAGCCTTCATTTTGGTGAACAAGCCCCTGTCTTAGACTCGTCTTGTAAAATAAGCTCTCCGTTCCTTTAATTAATCACTCTCCGCACCTGTTCCACTTATAACTCATTTTTCTTGAGCATGGATAGCTAATATTGTACAACATATTCCAGAGGAGGTCTCTTAGTGCCTTGTACCAAGTGTTAATATTTCCTAATCTCCACATTGCCCAATACATTCATTTTTTGTATTTCTTTTTGTCTTAGACCAACACGGCTACCAAATACATCCCTGAAAGATGGCACAAAACTTTTTGTATGGCCAAATCACATCGGTTGTTCATAGTTATCCCAGAATCAGCCAAAACAACCAGGTCTTCCTCTATCATTTCTAATTGAGGAGCTCCCAACTTATGGCAGAAATATAGTCTTTGAGGACCGGTTTATGGTACAGTTATATTGCTTCCCTTGAACTTGCCAGGATTTGATCCAAAGAAAGGACAAGATCTAAAAAATCCTTATTTTTTCCCCCGTTGCTCCTAAAAAGATTATGTAGTTTGATTAAACCTCAGAGAACAAGAACGATACTATAAACAGTATTTTAAACGTGCAGTACTATAAGAGGCGTGAGACATTTCTACAATGCATTGAAACATGTTCGGGAGCACCATTATGAAGATACACCCTCCCTGCCCATGTTATCCCTCTGCACAAACTTCCAGATTTTAAAAAAAAGAAGTAGTTACGTAGCTATCATTCAAGTAGCACTAACTAGCTTGAAGCAAAGCAGTGCTGGGCACACACCTAAAATCAAATATGCAGATAAACCCTGACTGACTGAACAGGGCATATTTTCTAAGCTGTGCTGTTAACACTGTGCACCATAATACAAACCACTGGGGGCCAACCTTTTTGGCAGGCATGCCACAAAGTAACCCTTCACCCTCCCCGAGTGCCACCGTTCCCCTTCCCCTACACACGATTTACTGCTCAGCTTTCTGCTCCCTGCACTGTTGCTCTGTTTTCTGGTTCCTGATCTGATTATGTTTCCTGATCTAATGCTCTGATTTCTGTTCCCTGTTTATCTGCCACTGTGCTGCCTGCCCCCTCCCCAGTCTGCTGTGTGCCACTTGTGGCATCTGTCATGGGTCGGCCACCTCTGGTATCAACAAACCCTTAGGTCCCACAGACCCTTAGCGATCCGGTGACTTTTACACATGCAAGATCATACAACACTGCAAAAATCCAGCACGCGTACCACAATTTGAGCAACAGTAAAAGGTGACAGAACCCCACAGACAAGTATGTGCCATGCAGTTCATCTTCTAGAGGGGCATTAATTCTGTTTGCATCTACACTACTGCAAATGCAGGGTAAAATCTCCTGTGGTCAATAAATTTACACCTCCAAAAGCAGCAGACTCGATGTGCAGCTGAGGCCTGTCCAGAGAATACAACAGGAGTCTACGCACTGCACAGTGAAGAGGAAAACCTCAGTCCTGCCAATAAAGAGTCCCACAGAAGTTATTTGGGCCCACTTGTGTAGATATCATTGCAACCTAAGTGCCATAAGGAGCACAGCTGCCTTGTCCATAGCATCTAATCCTAATCACGGACACAGTGACCAGCATAATCAGCTCGATTCAAGAATCAAAGTAGATATGACATATAAAAAGAAATGATGAATTTTGAGGTGCTCAGCACCCACTGGACCTCATTTTGGACAAACCTATAGGACTTCTGAGCCTGTCTTATCAATTAGTCATTGAAGTTCACACTTCAGGATGCAGAAAAAAAAAAAAACAAAAAGGAGGCTGCAGGCCAGTATTTGTTCAGCTAAATGAAACCTCATAAAAACTTTGTCATCATAGAAGTATGGGATGGGAAGGGACCTCAATGGTCATCTGGTCCAACCTCCTGCATAAAGGGATTTGGGGTTTTTTTGCAGCTGCATGCATCACACCAACTCATGTGGAGTCTGTGGTCCACCAAAACCCCCTGATCCTTCTCAGCAATGCTACCACCCTGCCAATTTTCTCCCATGGCTATGGCACCTTACATAAAGGAGACACAACTACAACCTAACATTCAAAATACCAAAGCTCTGCAAAGACTGGATGCTTAGTCTCCTGCTGCTCAAAGAAACAACCTGCACTTTGCTTCAGAAGCATTTCTCTTGGGTCTCCCAGTTCATCAGTTGTTCATAAAGTAACGTGGGAAATACTGTGTGGGCAGAAAGAGTATGTTGGTACTTTATTCAGGATTTGATTAAAATCACTTTGTTCACAGGTGTCTTAAAAAACAACAAAATTAAAGATTTTCTATCTCATTAATTTTTCCACGGCTCTTTGTCTGCTTAATAAAATGAATTTATATCCTGTTTGCCAAATGGTACTACACGCTTATCAGTTTCCTTGCAGTTTTGCTATGGTAACCAGCTCCAGTCCCAGGAGGAAGGAGGAGATGATGCAGATATTAAAACCAGTTCCCTCAGCTCCCTAGCCTGAAAACTAAAAATGTATTATGGCAGCTATTTCAGGCAATCTGTTCTTGCAAAAATGTTCAAGGCAATGGGAAAATGCAGAGATCTATTTTGGGGTTGGTTTCTATCCCTTGTCCATGCAAACATTAGACCGCAGTGAGCATTCCTTCCCCTCCGAGCTGGGAAAAGACTAGGCTATAAGAGACTGGGTCACTTGCATATTATTTCTAGATGTGATGTTTATCTGGCTCCCATTCTTGCAGCATTTGAGCAGCACACAGTTTAAGGTATTTATCCTAGCAAAATCCTGTGTGGAAGAGAAACACTATTACCCCCATTTCCTGGGGGAGAAAAAAAAAACCTAAAAGCTAGATTCTGAAGAGGAGTTCAATGACAGAGACAGGGACCTAGTGGGGCTTTCAAAAGCACCTACCTCCCTTTCAAATTAAAGGCTCACTCTTAGTTTGGACAAGAAAACTAGAGTAGGCGGTTTCTGATTGTTTTCACCTTGATTTTCATTCGTGATCACAAGTGGGATGTTTGTATTAAAAATATTGCAAGAAAATATTGGTTTCTAATGTTGTTTCCTTGAGGAGATAAGGGGAAAAAATGGAAACATTTCTGCTCCACTTGTTTAAAGATCCTGAAACCTTGAGGTTATAAAACAAAATCTCAAGCTCAATCTAGCCCAACATTTCATAAATGTCTGGAAGTAGCCTGGTGGCTCAGGGGGTCTGGGCAAAGCCTTGTGGAACGATCATAAGCAGAATAAAGTATCAGCTTCAATCAATAGGCTGCTTTTCTCTACTGCATCTCTACTGGATTATTCAAATACCAGATGCTATTCTATATATAATTGAGAGA